GCTGAGATTATGCGCGCACACCCGCCTCTCCATTGTTACGGTGACTCCCTTAAGCACAGTTATGACATTCTTCTCCTACTTCTGATCCTGCGCTGAAGATGAGCAATTTTATGGGCCACAAGGTCAATTCGAGCCTGTAATCTGTAAATTGACTAAATTATAGGATGTTCATTCACATTGCCAGAGAGAACTGTAAATTCCACTTAAAGACATAAAAAAATACATAATATAGCTTTAGTAGTGTATATGTATGTTTTTTACTTATGCCGTACTGCTTTAAATTTAATCACACCGATAGCTCTTTGGCTCCATTGGGCATGTTCTATAAGGAAAAAAAGCAGAAAAAGATTTAATTTCAAACAACTGGTTACCGATTATTGCAGGGATGAACCTTTAAAAAAAACTGTATAATGTATGTTTTTGTGTGACTTCATTTCAAAGCTTGTTGTTTTCCTTTTTTAGTTAATGGCTCTTTCCTCTAAGGAATCATTCACAATGCTTAATTGTCACTCAAATGTATTGCATTTAATAGGAAGCACTGAGATGCCTTAATGCAAAACTAATTAATTTAGCAGAAATGTTTAAAATGTTTTAAAATGCCATGACGTCTATGGTATATCATAGGACATTCAGAGCTGGATTTTAATACCCCACTTCTGATTAAAAATATATTTTAATGTTATTATGCTATAGAAATTAACTAATAAGTGCATCATATGAAAACACTTGATGTGAAATCTGAAAAACCTGCGATTCTAATGACTAAATGTGACTAATTTACAAAATCCTACAGGTTCAATTAAACTATGCACTGTGCTCATGGTATATTCTATTTATTTTTTTCGTGGAAGGGTCTTCTGATTGGCACTCCTGTGTAAATATAAACATCTTTTAAGTCAAAAACAGCTTCTGTGTTTTGTTGGACAGTACACTTCATCACAGGATGCAGATGCATTTTTTGACCCTTAAGATAGTTTTACAAATAACTTTGCAAGCAGTTTTATTAACCATGGTCTGTGATTTATTCATTGGCAGAATTGATGGTTCAGTGACTTGCAGCTAAAGTAAATGAAGATGAACCTTTGCCCTAAAGCCCCCTCAAGACCAGTGGGAGAATGAGTTTTGCTGCTCCTGATTTTAGCTGCGAGGGTCGAGTGCCAAATGGTTCATTTTAATTGCTCTGGGTCTTGGAATCTAAAAAGATATCTCATTTATTGTTTTTACTGTATGAGTTATAGGAAAGAGGAAGGCCCTGACTCCAATGAAAATTTGCTCTTAGATGGCAATAAGCAGTTTCTTCCTCATTTCTGCAAAATAAGTAGACACGCTCTGTTATTAGAAATCTAATTCCATTCATTTTTATTAGGGTCACTAAGACCCTGGAAAGGGAAGAAGAAACGTTTTCTGAGAACAGTTTCTGACATAGTGTCACACCAAAACCAGCACGTGACTGATTGGCTTTGATTGTGTACTGCGAACAATGCACACTTTGCTTAGCTTAGTGCTTACCACATAGAACTCAAGTGTTGCACTAGTGGTTTATGTATTTAATTCCCAAGATAAAGAATTATAAATGCAGATAGGTATGTTGCGTTTTATGCTGCCATCATAAAACTACAGAGGTCCGTAGATAGGTGCGTGCACAGAAAAAGCAATCTAGATTCTAACATCTCTTAGAATTATGGCAGTTATTGAATTTTATTTGACTATGAAATGATAGATCTCTTAATTTTTAAGTGAAATTTAAAAGTTATGTAACAATAATTTTTACAGAGTAGGTATTTTCACAGCTCACCCAAAAGTTCTGAAGAACTGTAGACACTGAAAAAAGCCCATTGATTTACGTAGCTGAAACAGAACAATGGGGAGCTAGATCCCCTTTAATGTTAAAGTATGATAGTCTGTTCATGTGTTTCAAAGGAGTAGGGCCGTGTGTAGGTTAAAAATGAGAGCGAAAAACATTAAAAAGTATTAACAATTGGCTCTCAGATTAGTGGCGGTAGAGAGCATGGGTGCAGTAACATCTGACAATGTCAATTCATTATCATCGATGGCCAAATAATCTTGGAAATGCTCAGTGGACCTATTAGTTCCTGAACATAAGCAGCTCCTGCTGCATTTCTGCATTAGCTTTAATTGCTATAAATTTTACCTTTTAAAAAATCATGCTTTGAAAGGTGAAGTGGTCTTTCAGGAACATTAACTCTGTAATGTTGTCACAAACAGAGGGCCCTGCACCCTGTCTCTTTCCTGCAGTAGTTGTTCTCTTAGTCTCTGTCTTTGGACCTTTATTAATAACCTCTTCATTGTTTGAGTTGTAAGAAATGAACTGGTTTTCAAACGGTTCTGATCGAGTGATAATGTGTGAAAATAGTGGGGCAGGCACATTTTAAAAATGAAATTATCACGGTGTTTTATTATTTTAGTAACCTCTTGGTTTTCTTGGAAAGAACTTAATATTTTATGATGAAATTGATGGAAATAACAAACAGTGCATTTTGTTGAATAGAGCTCAGTATTAATGTTTTGGATTACTTGTAATTGTTTGATTTTTTTCATATGTTTATGTGTCTTTATACGAGAAGACTGTAGATACTAATCGGATATATAGCTTCTGTTTCTTTCTAAGGCTTAGTTTACTCCCTTAACAAAAACTGCCTTTTAAACCTCCATTTCAATTGTTTGAACCTACGCTGGTTTTCTTTGAATCCTTAAGCGGAATTTTAAGATATTCCCCGCCCCCCCCCGCCCCGCCCATTGGCACATCTTAGCTATAGTATATCCAGCTTTCAAGTTAGTTTGACAAGAATGTATTAGATGTTTGATTTCTATGAGGTAGCTAGGATTCAGAATTCAGGATGTAAGTTTTGTTTACCCATGGTTTACATGCTCATGTCATAGAAATCTCAAAAATGTATTGCTTTGTGCTTGCTGCTTTAAGAACATGTTATAGATAACTATTTAAAAGCTTTTTATTTTACTTTCACTTTTAGGAAGAGCAGTTTTTGGCTAGTACCATTTCTTAATGTTTTTCTTCTGAGTATGAGCTCGAGGAATTGCGTAGAATATAGGTGTTTTTACATATGCTTGATGGTTAGTTAGCATGAAAATGTGCTATGAGTCTGACATAGGACTTGGGGGCGGGGGAGAGAACGAGTAATCAAAAGCATTCCTATACATAAGTTAATAATTTTGTTGGGAACATATGTTTAAGAACAGGTAAAACAGATAGTTTTACGAAATCCATGATCTCTGCCTTTGTTTTTTTCGGTAGTCTAGAACTTGCAGATCTCAGTGGCTTAAGAAAGTCATTACAGACGCCATGTTTTGTTGAACGCATTTAAATTTATTTAACACTCTCTTTCTGTGTGTGTATGTGATGCCATCGGTAATAGCGCTTACGCAGAGCTGTGGTTTGCTGTGTGCGCCTTGGTTGACGTTCGTTTCGTTTGTTGCTCTCTGTAGTTCCATGAGATGGTCTCATGTTTATTATCCCCATTGCACAGATGGTAAACCTAAGATTAAAAGTATTTGGTGATGGACTTAAATCGTGCAGTAGTAATGGTAGACCAGTTTCCTTCCTGTTAACTGTTCCTTGTCTTTATCTCTCTGCTTTTTGTAATATTTGTTGTTTTGCTTACTGCCTTTCATTTGTACTTATTTCTTTTTTCTCTAGGTTGTTTTCACTAGCGTGCAGTATCTAACTTATCTCCTTCTGGCCCTCAGCCACTTGTTCTCTGCTTTTGCTTAGATTTACATTCTTTTAAGGAATTGCTTGCACTGTGTTTTACTTTAAATTCTGGTATTCAGTCTCTTATTTTCTCTGTGTCACTTTTTTCCTATTACAGTGTTTTAAGTAATTTTATTATTTCCCCCTCTTGTTCTTTATGTGCTGATAATTTATTGCACTTGAGTGATTACAAATGGAATATGTTGATATAATAGAAGTAAGTGCCTAAAAAAATGAAGATTTTATTATCTTTTCATTAAGATGAGAGGGGTCAAATTGATCAACTTTAGGTTATTGTTTTTGTTTTTTCATTACTAGTTAAAAAAATAAAGAGTTAGTAGAAAACTAGTAAGTAGCCTGTGATTTCAGTAAATCCAGGGATAGCTAACTTTCGTATGCATGATTTAGAGATCATGTTATTTTCTGGACTGATTTTTCTATGTCTAGTTTTGAATCCTGTGTATAGAGTTGAGTAGTTGAGTACAGCTTACCTAATCAGGAGAGAATAAAGATATTTCTCAAATCTGTCGCCTCTGGGTTTATGAAAAGATTCTAGACATTTTCTGTTGTGTATTAGTGTGCTTACGAACTGTTTATTCTTAGTTGGCTTAAGAAACCTTAAAAAAAAGAAAGTTACTAATGCAGTAAAAACTCTCTTTTTTTTTTTTTTTGCATGTGTGGCAATACCTAGTTTTTGTGCATTAGAAGGGATCTCTATGTAGATGATTATAATGTCACTTTCTGACCTTTGTAGCTTGAATAATTGTAAATCATTGCTTCATAACGTGTCAGAGAATGTCTGTACTAGGCAATTAAATGGCAGAATATAATAGACCAAATTATTGCCTGTCATGTTTTCAACAACACAGTTAGTATTTGAGTTACACTTAATCATTACGTGCATTAGCAACTTCATTGGAATCCAGCTTCAGGCTGAGCATGAAATACATTACATTATTTAAACCTCTAATGGTACAAGTCATTTATTTGTGTTGAAGTGTACAACATGCAGAGTTTCATAAAGCAAGGAACACTTGAGAGCTTAATTTATCCAAATCAAAGTCTAAATGCAGATAAACACAAGTGGCAAAAATTAGTAATTTTTATAGGCTGGAAATATTTAAAAATACATGGTTGTGGGTAATTGT